ATATATAGTGCGGGGTTGAGTCAATTTCAAGAGATGCTAAGACTAAACTCATAAGGAATCATTTTTTCAAACTCATGGAACTATCTGAAAGATATATTAAATTGGAGGAATGCCACCGGTAAGAACAATATACCCGAACAGAAACGACATTGTTGAGAAGATCCTAGAACAACCAAATCTCATAACACAGAAGTCCTTGAAGGAGAGAGAGTCGCTCATACCATGTCATGCCAAGAAAGAAATTTATCCTACATACCTTGTTGAAGAACTAGCTACACTTTTATGATGGTTAACACTGACTCCAATAAATCTCCAGAATCAACCCACAAGATAATAGATATTATATTGACGATTCTAAACTCTTTCTCGCTAGATCCTACTAGATTCACCTTCGACCTTGCCTTAGGCTGTTTGGGAATTCTAATGGGGTGTTGAGAGCATTCTGAGAGAACTAATGTTGGTGATATCTTCTAGAATGAGTGAGAAAGAGCTGCATTGCATTTTATATCATACCAGGTCTAGGAAATCCTACCGCTGCTACATGCAAAAAGGGTCGCCCTGCCTCAGTTGCAACTCCCGGTGAGACAGCTGGTGTTAGACTAATGAAACGTGTAATCTCCGTTTTGACCCCTTTGTCCGCATACGTGTCACCGGCCAATTGTCCACGTGAGAAGCCCCACTTGTCAATCTTTAACTTTATGTGTGGGGAAAGTGTGTGGTGTAACATCAACCACCCTCAGAATATTCATCCCCAAATGTTTAATCGTAGTCACTCATTGCAAATTTCTTTATTCATATTGGGTTGTGCCAACCATGGTAGTCTCATTGTTGCCTCATGTAGTGTGGAATAAATGGGGGTAACTAGATTTCATGTCCTTTTCAGCTTCCCGGGTCATTTCTTCTTTGTTATCATTCCTCCAGTACTTTAATTGAAGATACACATTTGGTATGTATCTTACGGACATGATGATCTAGGATAGACACCGGAACTTCTTCGTAGGATAGGTCCTCTGTGACTTGAATATATTTAATAGGGGTAATACAAAATGGATCACTCAAGCACTTTTGGAGCAAAAATATGTTGAATACCAGATGCACTGCATCCAATTCTGGGAGCAGCTCAAGCTTATAAGATACTTGACCAACCTTTGGAATAATTTTATATGACCCAATTTACCGGGGACTGAGTTTTCCCTTTTTACTGAACATTATCACGTCTTTCATAGGCAATACCATTATGAATACCCAGTCTCCCACAACAAACTCAAATCTCATCGTCGGTTATCTAAGTATGATTTTTTCCATCTTTGAGCAGTCAACAAATGACATCAAATCATTTTAATCTTTTCTATAGCCTGCTGCACCAATTCAGGACCTAATAACTTTGCTTCATCAACTTTGAACCAGCCGATAGGAGATCTTCACTTCCGACCGTATAGTGCCTCATACAGTGTCATTGGAGTACTAGCATGGTAGTTATTATTGTACGAAAATTCATTAAGTGGTAGTTGATCCTCCCAACTTCCTTTAAAGTCTAGAATATAGGCTCGTAACATGTCCTAAAGTGTCTGGATGGTGCGTTCGGCCTGATTGTCTATTTGTGGATGAAGCGTTATGCTGAGGTTTACCCACGTACCCAATCCTTTTTGGAATGATTTTCAAAAGTTAGCCAAAAACTGGTAACCCCTTTCCGATATGATGGAAACCGGAACCCAATAGAGTCTAACTATCTCTTTAATGTAATGCTTAGCATAATCTTCTGCTGAGAAGGTAGTCTTAATCGGTAGAAAATGAGCTGACTTAGTGAGTTGATCCCCAATAACCTATATGGAGTCAAACCTTTTGTGTGAAGGTGGTAATCTAGTAACAAAATCCATGTTGATCATCTCCCATTTCCAGGTTGGAATTTCCATATTCTGGAGCAGTCCTCCAGGTTTTTGGTGTTCAACATTATCTTGTTGGCAATTTGAATAATGAGCGACGTATTCAGCCATGTTCCTCTTCATGCCATTCCACCAATACAACTGTCAAAGATCATGATACATCTTGGTTGACCCTAGGTGAACAGAATATCGGGATCGATGAATCTCCGCCATAATCGCTCTCGCAGTCCCGCAATATCGGGTAGACATAACCGGTACTGGTATCTAAAGACTCTGTCTTCAGTTAAATCGAACACTTGTTTCTTTTTAAAGGGAATGCTTTCTCTTTTTTGTACCAAGGTGGGATCGTCAAATTGTTATGCCTTTACTTCCACCACTAGCAAGAATTCGGCAGCATTTCAAACTGCTGCTCCTTCTCTACCGTTGACTAGAAATCGTATACTTAAATTATCCAACCGGTATAAGTCCTTAGTCATATCCCATTTATCACTTTCCATATGTCATAAACTACCCATTGATTTTTGACTTAGCACATCAGCCACAATGTTTGCCTTCCTGAGGTGGTACAAAATATCAATATCGTAATCCTTTAGTAATTCAAGCCATCTTCGCTGCCTCAGATATAATTCATTTTTGCTTGAATATGTACTGCAAGCTCTTGTGATCAATTAATATGTCGACATGAACTCCATACATATAGTGACGCCATATTTTCAGGGTAGATATAACTGCTGCCAGCTCCAATTCATGAGTTGTGTAATTTTGTCTCGAGTTTTTTTAGTTGTCTCGAAGCATAAGCAAGAACTCTCTTGTATTGCATTAAAACTCATCCGAATCCCACATTAGAGGCGTCACAATATATAATGTACCCCTCAGGTCCTTCCGGAAGAGTTAGAACTGGCGCTGATGTTACCATGTTCTTTAACTCTTGGAAGCTCTTCCCACAAATATTGATCCACCGGAATTTTGCTTCCTTATGCGTCCACTTCGTTAAAAGAGCAACTATAAATGAGAAATTTTCCACAAACTTTTGGCAGTAGCCAACTAAGCCCAGGAATCTGAGTAACTCGGTACGGGGTTATGGGCCTTGGCCCATTCTCAACTTCTTTGATCTTTTGACTGTCGACTTTGATACCCTCACCCAATACTATATGCTCAAGAAAAGCCACCGAGTCCAGCCAACACTCGCACTTGGGAAACATGGCATACAACTTGTGATCTTGGATCATATGTTAAACTACTCGCAAATGCTTTGCGTGCTCCGCTTCTGATCGAGAATATGCCAAGATATCATCTATGAACATGATCACAAAAATATCCAAAAATGGATTGAACACTCCATTCATCAGATCCATGAAGGCCACTGGTGTGTTGGTTAGGCCAAAGGACATAAGGTGAAACTCGTAATGGCCATATCTGGTCCGAAAGGCTGTCTTCGGAACATATTCTTCCTTGATCCTTAACTGATGATACCCAGAACTGGGATTGATATTTGCAAAATACTTAGAGCCTTGAATTAATCAAACAAATCATCAATTCTCGGGAGCAGATTCTTGGTTTTAATGGTTACCTTATCCAACTGTCGGTAATCAATAAACATCCTCAATGAACAATATTTCTTTCTAACAAATAGTACTGGGGCTCCCCATGGGGAAGTGCTGGGTTAGATAATTCCCTTATTAAGAAGATCCTTCAACTGATATTTTAGTTCCTTCAACTTGCTAGGAGAAATCCTATATGGAGGAATAGATATTGGTTGCATGTCTGGTGGCACATCAATGGCAAACTCAATATCTATCTTGGGTGGAATAATTGGGAGCTCGTCAGGGAACACATCGGGGAATTCACTAAAAACCGGAACCGATTGAAGGGTTGGAGGCTTCTCTTCTGCATCTTGCACCTGCACAAAATGAAAGAAACATCATTTTGTGATCATCTTCTGAGCCTTAAAGTAAGACATAAATTTCCTTTTTGGTGCTGCAACATCACCCTTTTATTTGACTACAGGCTCTCCTGGAAAGTTAAAGCGAACAACTTTCTTCCAACAATCCATCGAAGGATAACAAGAGGCCAGCTAACCCATGCCCATAATAACATCAAATTCTATCATTTCTAATTCATTTAAATTAGTCAAGGTATGGTGATCATAAAGCATCACATCGCAACCTTGATACACCTGCCTAACTGCGACGAACTCGCCCATGGGTATGGACACTTCAAACTGTTGTCGTAACAACTCAGGTTCTTTATCGCATTTACTAGAAATAAATGGAATAATAAACGACAAGGTAGAACCTGGATCTATCAAAGCATACCAATTAATGGAAAATGCGGATAGTATACATGTGACCACAACTGGTGATGACTCTAGCTTTTGTTGGAATGACAACACATTAATGTGGTTTTGTTGTCCACCCAAGCTAGTCACTCCACTCCTACGGCTACCTCTCCCCATTGGTGGTTGCATAACTTGCTCACGAGGATGCGTTTATAATGAAGAATCTATTGCAGATCCCGTTGCAACATCATGCCACCCACAGTTCACACTGGGCAAAAGCGCATGATATGACGGCATTGTCCACAAGAGTAACACAAATCTAAACACTGGAGGCACCGAGGGCCTCATCTTACTAGGGTCTCCACTGTATTGTGAGCTTTATCCTTGAGGATTCTAGCCCTGACTGGGATGAGTGGTCCAATCACGAAGCTGACCCTGGGACTGGGATGTTGCATTAGCCACTGGATATGTCGTGTGTTCGGAAAATGGAGGTCTGAACTCACCTCAAAACTTATCCATATCACATGTAGAACGGGCCCTTTTATGTTTGCCCAGATCATACTGTCGAGCAGCTCGTTATTTCCTATTACGATCCTCCAAGCTTTATGCATAATCTTGGATATGAGCAATATCCATAATTAGATTCAAAGAAGTTGTGGTGCATTCATTTTTTTCAGATCTGGTCCCCGACTACCCACAAATCGATGTAATCGTTCACTCATCTCATCCACAACCGAAGGAGCATACCTACCTAAGGAGCTAAATTACATGTTATACTCCCAGACACTCTTATTACCTTGCTCCAACCGTAAGAATCTATCTTATTGTACTCGGTGGATCTCAAAGGGCAAATATTGCTGCAACAATTCCTCATAAAGTTCTCTCTATATTGCCGCTGGGGCAAAAGATCCCCTGGACTATTCCTAAGTCTCATACCAAGTCACAACTGTATCTCGCAATCTGTAAGAGGTAAGTTCTACGAACTTAGAATCCTTGTCATGCATAACTTGTAAAGTCTGATGCATTTGATCTAGAAAATTCTGGGATCTTCGTTTGGATCTGTCCCTATAAATAACGAGGGGTCCAAATTTAAGAAATCCCGAACCCTCGTACTTACTGCCCTATCTGAAATGGCAGGGGCCTAATGTTGGGCTTAGGAGGCCATTAACTGAGTCAACAATTGTACCGCACTCCTCATATACAAATCCTTCTCAGAAGCAACCGGGGGAGGAATAAGAGGTACATTAGCTTTTCTATGTTATTCCGAGGGTAGTGGTGATGTCCCCAAAACCTGACTATCAACCTCATCCCGAGGCTCACGTTGGCCCATAGGGGCAGGTGGCACATGGCTGGTACCTTCTCCTGCTTCTTCATTCAATCCATGAACAATTGTGTGACGTCTCGTGGCAGGCATCACTATAATCATAAACAAGATAAGGATTAGAAGTGAATACTTATGACTCAGCTTTATAGCATGATCTAGATCAGAAAGAAAAGTATCCACTCTAAATATCCTATAGCCTCCTTTTTATAAGTATGGTGCACGACATACCCATAAACAAGACTCTACTAAATACAGTTTGTAGACACCCTAAGACTGACATGCTCTGATACCAAGTTTGTCACATCCCAACTTTGGGAGGTGCGGCCAGCACATGATGCTCGGAGGCCCGTACGAACTGAGGTCCATGCTTACATCATTTTAATAATACAACCTGGTCCAACGAGTCCTCCAAGTACAAATACCATAGTTAAAATATGTGCAACTGACTTGCAAATAAACTTTGACATTTTGTACATAATCACAATTTTACACAACAAGGTCATAACCAATCCTTTTACATACAACCAAACTCTAGTATGCAAGCCTCTAAGAGTGTTAAAACATAGTACATGACTTGGTCGGGATAGGGCCCCACCATACCCAAAATAATTGGAATATACACTTCGGTACCTATTGACTTCTGAACAACTACTCCGAAAAGTGGAGTGCAACGACCAACAATAAGGACAAACACTTACTGTAGAGGGACGTCTCCGGGTCTATCTGCACCTGTGGGCATGAACACAACACCCAAAGAAAGGGGTGTTAGTACGGAAAATGTACTGGGCATGTAAGACTAAGAAGGCATTTAAATCAAACATATAACATAAGAGATATGAATAAATGATTTCAACCTGAATACCGAAGATAAGTCACCAAGGGCGCAAACTGTAGAAACCATAAAACATAAAAGTATGAAAGTTTATAAAAGGTTAAGCACCCATGGAGACATATGAACTAAATATAATAAAATATTGCTTAGCCACTCTTTGGGGAATATGATTTCATATTGTAGCCGGCCTCGTGAAGGACTCAGTAAAGTTTATTTCTTTCATCCCACCGTAACCGGCCTCAGGATATTTCGGTTGTTCCCGACCTCAAAGAGAGCTCGGTCGTACCCGACTACACAATGGCTCGGTAGTATTCCACATTGTAGCTCATCATACCCAACTGATCAGTGGTTGCACAATTTGTGCCATACCCAGCCGTCTATAGAGCGGCTTAGTAAAGTAAAATAGATACATGTATATATATATATATATATGTGTGTGTGTGTGTGTGTGTGTGTGTGTGTGTGTGTGTGTGCAATGTAGAGTCAATTTCAATAGATGCTAAGATTAAACTTAGAAGGAATAATTTGTTTCCGAACTCAGGGAACTATTTGGAAGATATATCTGATTGGAGGAATGCTATCGGTAAGAACAATATACAAGAGTAGAAACGATATTATTGAGAAGATCTTAGAACAACCCAGTCTTATAACACATAATTCCTTGAAGGAAAGAGAGACGCTCATATTAATTCATGCCAGGAAAGAAAGTTATCCTACACACGTTGTTGAAGAACTAGCTACACTTCAATGATGGTTAACTCTGCCTCCAACGTATCTCCAGAATCAATAGAACAAGATAGTAGATATTACAGTGACGATTTCAAACTTCTTCACGCCAAATCCCACTAGATTCACCTTCGACCTCACCTTAGACTGTTTGGAAATTATAAAGGGGAGTTGAGAGCATTTTGGGAGAACTAGTATTTGCGATATCTTATAGAATGAGTGAGAAAGATCTACACTGCCTTTTTTATTATGCCATGTCTAGGAAATTCCGCCGCTACTACATATAAAATGGGTCACTTAGCCTGGTTGCAGCTCTCGGTGAGACAGATGGCGTTAGCCTAATGAAATATGTAATCCCATTTTGACCCCTCTGTCCCCAAAGGTGTCACCGACCAATATTTCGCACCAGAAACCGCACTTATCAATCATTAACTTTATGCATGGGGAAAATGTGGGGTGTAACAAATTTTACTATTTAGATCCTTTGGATAGGTTTGGAGAATGTATTGCAACTTGTTGGTGTGATTGGACGGGGTCCCGAAGGCATCGAGGCTGTTTTTGATGAGTTTCAAAACATTTTGATGGTTTATGGAAATTCTGGTCTAGTGTTTTCACACCGACGAGGTTTGGTCCACATGTGCGAGTCCACAGAAGCAGACTTGATGTCACAAAATCGCAGTTGGCTGGGGAGATGGAAGTCCGCAACTGCAGAGCAGTTAGCATAGAACTAATTGCACATGTGCGAAGGGTTGACGATAGGAATGGATTCACTAAAGCGGAAGGTTGTCCGCAGAAATGAAAGGTTGGGGATTTAAGTGGGTTGCACATCTGCGAGTGATTTTTCACAGATGCGGTGTCGCAGAAGCGACATATTTGCCGTAGAAGATATGATCACTGCACATAATATATTTTGATCGAGGGTTTGGCTTATTTTATCAAATTTTGAGATTGAGAGCTCGGGTTGGGCGAAATTTACTCACTTGGATTGGGTAAGTGTTCTTAACATGGATATTATTATATTTCGTGAATCTATCTTTGATTTTGGCTTTTGGTTGATGAAATCTAAAGGAGAAAATTGGGGGTTTTGTATGAAGTTTTGGATAGAGAATATTTGTGATTTGAACCTCGATTCGATGTCGGATTTAGATGAAACTTTAATATTTTAACTCGTGTTGGAATGGGTTATCGATTTGTGTGACTTTTGCCGAGTTCTGAGAAGCGGGCCCAGGTTGATGTTTTGTTTGACTATATGATTTTAATTAAAGATCAAGCCTTTATGCTCTGCTATTGTTTCCTTTAGAATTATTTGACACCGTGGTGTGTTATTTGACCAGATTAGAACTATTTGGAGGTCGATTCACGTGGGAACGACTTTTTGAAGTTTTGATTCACGCGCTTTGAGGTAAGTAGCTTGTCTAAACTTGGCTTGAGAGTAGTTTCCTCACTAGATATGATATTTGATATATGTTGGGGTGACGCACATGCTAGGTTACATGTGTATATGCGTACACCAGGGTTATTCATGATCCTGATAGACCTTAGGCTATTATGTGATTTGTTTTGGTATTCATGCACATTATCTCCGTGTTTTCTCTACCGGTATTACTACTTGAGCTATTATTCATGTTAGAAATTATGTCTAGGCTATGTACTTTTCTATTTGAGACATGATAGGGCTATTCTTGCTATATTGAGTTGTTTGCTTGGATTGTAGTCATATTCTCAGTCATGATATTACATCTATGTATTATATCTCTGTCTCTATGCATTCTTTACATGTTATCTCACATGTTTTTGATGGCCTTATATACGTGACATGGTTTGAGCTGAGCATTGTCTGATGTGAATATTTGAGACTTGAGCGGTCGATGACTGAACATGGGTCATAGAGCCGATTTGGTATTGATTATGAGGTGACGCGTATGCCATGCCGCATATTTTTATGAGTGGTATTGATTGTGAGGTGACGCGTGCACCAGGCCCCATATTGGGCTATGTGATATTGATTGTTGACTTAGATTTGATTAGCACTTGGGCAAGGACACGCCCCTCTGGATTCAGGTAATAACCTGTGGGTGCCGGCACATGGGCCATATATATGCTTAGGGAGGGACTTTTGTTAAGCACTTGCATAGTATTGAGTGTTTTTGTATGTGTTCTAGTTGAAGGGTATTTATATCAGGCACCATATGTGTGCTGACATTGGACATACTTGATGATTTAACTGCGATATTGTCGATTCTAGAATGTTTATTTGCCATGCATGTACGGGGTTGTATTTCTTCCCTCATACTTATTAGTACCTGATGTCTCTATTTGATGTGTTGAATCTGGAAACACAGTTAAACTAATAAAATCATAATTAGGTGATTTTGTAGAAAAATCTACGCCTTAACTATTATTCTTGAAAAGCATGCTTATTTCTTTTCTTATTGTGAAAAAGTCAAATTTAATATTATTTGAGCTACTTTTCCTGTTGCCATGATTATTTAGTTATTGTTGTTTTTGGCTATTGGAATTTGAATATTGAACCTTGAATGCTTGTCGCTGCTTTCAGCCCGAGGTTAGGCTTGTTACTTATTGAATATGTGGGGTCGGTTGTACTCATACTATACTCTGCACTTATGTGCATATCTAGGTACTGCAAAGAGGGTTGATTGGTAGGGAGTAGCACTGATATGCTCCTTTAGATATTTTGAGGTACTGATGACGTCCAAATCCACTCCTCAAAGAGCAAGTGGACACGGTTGCATGCAATACAATAAACCCAACTCGGGGTCGAATCCCACACGGAATAATATATAGGTGATTAGGCAAGTAAGAGAATTATCTCTTATTATGCTAAGTCAAATACTAAAAAAGGTTATGAGAAAATATTATAACTAATGCGAAAATGTAAACTAACCTACAAAGCGAGTAAAATGATCAATGGCTACAAGCATGGATACAAGGGGAATTACACTCAAGAACGATCCAATGTATTTAACGATTTTACAAATATGAGCAAGTTTACTTTAATTAGTCATGGATATTAATTCTATATTAGATTCTTCCAAACACTAACAAGACATTCTAATTGCATTATTCCTAAAAAAATTAAGAGCATGAAATACACTCCAAAGTGGCTATAAATGGTTCAATCATATCCGTAGGTAGAATCTATAAAGCAAGGGTTAACACCTCAAGTTTTTGTTAATTAATCTTTTTGTTTTACCCTAAAAATCGAGTAACAATTAAACTTGTAATGTGGTTTTAAGGATACGCGATTTTGCTCAATACTGGTTGATTAACTTAGAGATAAATGATGCGAATTGACAAGAATGTAAAACAAACCAATGCTTGGACAATGCCCTCAAGCTGATGAACCCTCGAGAATAATGAAGTAAGAGCAATTTAAATAATGGTAAATTGATGAACCGAAGCAAGAGATATTATATTGCCTTGATATTTGTGAATGTAAGATGCGTACAAATGATGGGGACTCCCCTTTATATACTAGAAGATTCCTAATTATGGTACAATTCTAATTATAGAAATAAATCCCATGATTCGTACCAATAACTGCTCTTGATTTGAACTGTTCTGGGATTTCCGCCGTGATCTTCGACCGGTTATGGATATCTCGCCATTCTGTTATTATGCTCCCCTCGAAGTCGGTCATACTTGGTCTCGATTGTTGCAGGCCTTGGTCTCAATGTACATTTCGATCTCTAGGCTCGATGTCTCATCTTTGAGCTCGGGACTGATTTATTACGAGGCTACCCCCGATGTAACTCCCTTGTCTCGATAAAACAAAAAAATAGGGTAGACCCGATTTTGACCGTATACAGATAGTCCCCTCGTTTCTTGGAGTGTAATGAGAAGAAACGAACTGAGACTTCGATTTAGTACCTCGACCAATTATTACGTCACACTCGTGATGTAAGCGATGGAGGCGACCGAAGCGTCGCGTGTAAAGAGTTCTCAAGATCATTAATTAGTGCTAGCTGACGGTCGGCCACCAGTGTTTTCAACCATCATAGCAGATATTATAAATACACCATCTTTATAACTTTCCGAAACTTTACTTTCAAAATTTCCCCTAATCTTCAAAAACTCTTTTACTCCCTTCAAGCTCATCAATTCTGCCAGTTCTTCAAACCCTATTTGCTAATCTTTTCTTAAAACAACAAGTTTCATCTTCTTCTTTCTTTTTCCTCATATAACAATGGCAAAAACATCAAAAGTCATTCCTCATAAGGAAAAAGCTTCCTCATCGCGGCCGGCCGGTGATAAAACACCGGTGGAGCCACGCAACGAAGAGTGTGTTCCCGGGTCATGCGACCTCACTTCCGATTTTAAAGTTGAAAAGCCTTCTTCAGTTCCTAGACGATGTGAGCCCATGTCGAGATATATATGCTCGATAACTGAAGTTGATCTCGAGCAGGTGAAAAATAATTTCCATTTGGAAAACAAAGAGGTGGTGGTTCCTACCACCGATAAGGATATCACTTACCCTTTCATGCTGGGTCACGTCGACCCTGTTATAATTGACTTCTGCCGCCAATACCATATAGCCCTAGGCCAAATCCACCCCTCTTTTTGGCGCATCATTATTTTGCTCTGATTCGTCGCGAGCAAGGTCTATTGGATTCCTTTCACCCACGATCATCTCATTAGACTATACAGCCCTCGTCTCTATCGAGGCAGATTAGTAAGGCTTCAGCGCCGAGCCACAAAGGTGTTGTTCTCGAGCATAGACAAGGACAAAGATCGAGGATGGATGGGTCTGTTTGTCCGATTCTATACTTCTGACATAATGCGAGCCGAGAAGATGCTATTCCTCGAGGAATGGAACATGAAGCGTAAGTACAAACCCACCAACAACTTCTGTTGATCGTTTTGCTTCCTTTATCTTTTCTCATCTAAATCCTTCCTTATGGTGCATCGGTCTCTTGGGTGCCCGGCGCGATCCCGAACCTTGTAGGCTATGTTCGAAAATTGACCTCGACTTCCTCGTACGCTGAGCGCTTGTGGCGCGATTTGGCCGAGGGCCGATGGAAGGCCAATGTGAGGGACCTCCAAGCCAAATTGGCAAACGATCATAAAGAGCAGACCGATCTCATCGAGCAGGTAATGTAAGTTTTCAGGGAGCTTGACATATTAATTTGATATTGGCGATTAAAACTTAGATCCTGCAGGTTCAACAGAAGGACGAAAAGATTAAGTAGCTTCGCGAGGACGCTAAGGTTAAAGAGATAGAGACTTTGGGGTGGAAGTAGAGCATGGACTGCCTTGCCTCGGAGAGATATACGGATTGAGCCCAACTATCTTTGGTTGGGCGTCAACTCCAAAGCATGAAGGAGGAGAACTTGGCCCGAGTCGAGAAAATTGAAGAACTCGAGGCTCGGTTGGCCGCTGAGCATGCAAAGGCCACATCCTAGGCGGAGGCAGTCGTGGCCGTCTACCGAGCCGACGCTAAAGCCGCTAATGCTAGAGCAAAGGAAATTTCCGATGCTGCTCAGGTTCGATTATCCTATGTTTCCAGGCATGCTAAGTGCCATTCTCGGAGAGAGACTCTCGAAGAGATTCATGCTAGTGGCTTTGACCTCATGGTCGATGTCGAGAATGCGAAAGTACTGGAGGATGAAGCCAAAGCTTTACTCTCTGATGATGATGACTCCGGGAGCGCGAGTGGATCCGAGAGTGGAGGAGATGAAAGGTTTACCCTCAAGTGCCTAAGCTCCCGAGGAGGATTAGGCACTTAGACTTTTTTCTCCCTTTTGTTTTTGGATTTTTGTGTAAGACCCTGGGTGGTCCTTGTAAATACTTTTGCATATATGAAAAATCCTTTTTCTTTCCGATTTGTCTCTGATTTCTATTTCGTAAAAACTCTGTTTTGCTTTCACCTTGTGATAATTGTTGAAATCGAATTGCTATAGTCTCTATAATCGAGTGAGCACTTGATTGAACTTGGAATAGAAAAACCCTTAGATTTTTTTTGTTAAGCGAGGGCAAGTCCTCGAGCTCAACAATGTAATAGCCTTTAGGCTATTGAATCGGGCCGATATGGCCTCGAAAGAGTGGCTTTTCCCCCTTTTTGGCTTAAAAGTTTTAATAAAAATTTGTTATGCCTTAGCATAAATTTGTTCAATTTGGTACCTCTTACGGTTTTTGAGGTATGATGTTATCGAAACCCTATGTAAATTTGCTGAGGGTAGCCCTTTTTTAACAGGTTTTAGGAGAATGTTTGAAGGCCTGTTTCATTACGGAATTCAGACGTCTCTGAACAGTGTTAGTTTGGCCGTAGTCTTCAGCTCGATATTTGCCTATTGGGCTTGTTTATCAATTATACTTCATGCTTGTTCGAAGTATCAGTCCCCGAGTGGGATTGCCGTGGCCTATAAAATTGAGGATCACCTTTTTAAGGTCTTTATGATTTTGAAGTTTATTTTCGGAAGGCAATCCCCGACTATGAGGTTAATTGCTCGAGATTTAGTTGTGATTGCCTTTTGAGCCGGTTTCCATAATATATCGTAAGTACAAAATTATAAAGTAGAAATCTTACTAAGGCATGGAACATCTGGTGAGGAAAAAGTACTTCTTTTAATAGATCATTCATGCGTACATGTTTTACCATTAGGGCTCGGGCAATATACGTGGGCACGGTTCGTTTTAATGTTTGGCCTTTTACAGAATTTTTCTATCGAGACCATGCTGGCACGAAGAGTCTTCCTTTAAGACATAACATCCGAGGGTGATGCCCCCCAGTTTTTGAGGTTGATTGTAAATAAGCCTCGGATACTGTTGAATTGTCCCCAAATAGCACATATAATTGGTGCCTCGTTAAAAACCTCGCCGGAAAAACCCATTTGAGACAAAAGCCGATCTAAGGGAAAAAGAGTGCAACGTGTGCTTTAAAATCTGAGGTCTCGATGTCTTTGACCGAACACCTGCAATAAGTTAGTATTGAATATAAACGAAAAAGGGAGAGAGTTATACCTTAGCAATAATATCGTTTGAGGAGTGAGATATTCCAATTATTTGGCAGTTGTTCGCCGTTCATCTTGCCAAGATTATAAGATCCCTTTCTGATGATATCGAGGACCTGATATGGTCCTTCCTAATTTGGTCCGAGTTTACCCTCGTTTGGATCTCGAGTGTTGAGGGTGACTTTTCTCACAACTAAGTCCCCTATTTTGAAGTGTCGAAGATTGGCTCTTCGATTATAGTATCTTTCGATTCGCTGTTTTGGGGCAGCCATTCGAACGAGGGTGGCTTCCCATTTTTTGTCTAGCAATTCGAGGCTTGTGTTCATAGCCTCGTGATTTGATTCTTCCGTTGTGTATCGAAACCTGACGCTTGGTTCCCCAACTTTGATTGGGATTAGAGCTTTAACGCGATATACTAAGAAGAACGGTGTTGCCCCGGTACTAGATTTTGTCGTTGTCCGATATGCCCATAGGACTTCGGGTAGAATTTCTCTCAATCTCCCCTTAGCATTATTCAGCCTTTTCTTTAGGTTTTGAATGATGATCTTGTTCGTCGACTAGGCCTGTCCGTTCCCATTAGGATGATACGGCATCGATAATATCCTTTTTATTTTGTGATCTTCGAGGAACTTCGTTATTTTGTTGCCGATAAATTATTTTCCATTGTCGCACACTATCTCGGCGGGTATCCCGAATCTGCATACGATGTGATCCCAAATGAAGTCTATAACTTCTTTCTCTCTGACTTTCTCGAAAGCCTGTGCTTCAACCCATTTAGAGAAATAGTCAGTCATAAATAAAATGAACTTAGCTTTACCTGGGGCTGATGGAAGAAGGCCGACGATGACCATTTCCCATTTCATGAATGGCCATGGGGCTGATGAATCATCGGTGCATGTCTTTCGCATTTGTCACATTTTCGAACGAACTCTTTGAATCTTTTTCCACACCGTCCCAATAATACCCTACTCTGATGACTTTGTGAACCAGTGATTCGGCGCTGGAATGGTTCCCGCAAGTGCCCTCATGAATTTCTCGTAGGATGTAATCGGTGTCTCCCGGACCTAAGCATATTGCCAATGGCCCATAGAACATCCTTCTGTATAATGTTCCATCTTCGGCTAATGTGAATCGTGCAACTTTCGTTCGAAGAGTTCTCCACTCCTTAGGGTCTGACAGAAATTTCTCATTTTTCAGGTAATCGATAAATTTGTTCCTCCAATCCCAAGTCAGGCTCGTGGAGTTTATTTCGGCGTGGCCTTCTTTGACTACTGACTTTGAAAACCGTACGACAGTCCCCTAGCTAATTTCATCATCTTCAACTAACGACCCCAAATTTGCAAGGGCATCGGCCTCAGCGTTCTGCTCTGGAGGTACATGGTGTAGGGTCCACCCTTTGAACTGGTGTAAGGTTACCTGTAATTTGTCTAAGTACCTTTGCATTCGATCTTCTCAAACTTTGAAGGTTTTGTTAACCTGGTTAACCACGAGTTGGGAATCACACTTGGCCTCGATGACTTCCGCTCCCAAACCTTTATCTAGCTCGAGACCTGCAATCATGGCCTCATACTCGGCCTCATTGTTAGTCAACTTAGGGGTTTTGATAGATTGTCTGATCATACTGCATGTGGCTGGCTTCAAAATGATGCCTAACTCGGACCCCTTCATATTCCAAGCTCCATCTGTGAAA